GAGAAGAAGAAAAAGGACGAGGAAGAGGAAGAGGAGGAGGAGGAGGAGGAGGAGGAGGAGGAGGAGGAGGAGGAGGAGGAACAACAAGACTCCATGTTCATACAGCTTTTTCGTCTTAGAGGGCCGCCTGTCCGACGCAGGCTGCGTGAGCGGCCCCACCCGGGAATTCCCCGCCCTCGTGGTGCCACAGGGGCGCCTGCGGAGCCCCGGGGGCCATGCCGCGAGCCCGTGGAGACGCCAAGGGTGGGCCAAACCGCTGCTCCGTTGAGTGGGTGCCAATCGGCACTGGGGGCCACCAGCGGACCCAATGGTCGCACTGGGCTTGTCTGGGGTGCAGGTGGGCCCCTATCCGTGGCCTTGCGGGCCAGGCCCTTGGGCCGGGACCCCGCGGACACGGGGCATTTTTTCGCGGATGCCCCGCGCGGAACGTAGCCGTGCGACCGCGTATCCGCGGGAGCGCGCCCCGGAGTCCAGATCGTGAAAGCGCGGATGCGGATGTGCTCGCTGCTCGTAATCACCACACGGTGTGGTCACCGCGCCCGCCGTGGCGGCCGCGTTTTTCGGCTTGCAGCCGTGCGGGCAGCGGCCGTGCCGTGCGCCATGCGTTAGGCGGGTGGCCAGCGCGGGGCTCGCTCGCGGGCGAGCGGTAGCGCCAATTGCGGGAGTGCAAGGCCCCTCTGAGCCATCTTGGTCCGAGCGGTCGCGCTTGAAATGGCACCCAACAACGCGCCAGTGCGCCTCTGTGTCAGCGGGCCGCTTGCCGTGCTGTTCGCGGCGCGCGCAGCATGCGGTGGGCGTGCGGGCGTCGAGGGGCTAGCCAATTTTTGTTTTGTTATGTTTGCTTTTGTTTTCTTGCTTTCCACAGCACGACAACCAGCCAGGAGACAATTGTGTGCGTGAGATGTACGGAAAGATCTGCGAACACATACGGCCATGGCTTGCAACGGCATGCCGCGAATGCCTCCTGAAGGTGCTCACCCGCGGGTGAGCGGCGCCGGGGTCGAAGGCTTCGCGAGCGTCGTCGTCCTTGTCCAGGGCCCCGCCCGGGCCGAATACATCGAGCTCGCCGTCGCTGTCGTGGTCGAACCCAGACTCCAGACGTCGTTTTGCATTCGCAGCGCACTCAGGGTCTGGACCCCTTCCCGGGGACCAGTTCTTCATCCTGAATCGTTTCTTGAGGGTCCCGAAGCCCAGCAAGGGCCCCCGGAGGCCGAACATGGCAGAAACCCTCCCGTCGGGTTTTTTTCGCAGCGCGAGGGGGTCTGGGAACCCAGCTTCACACAAGGGGGACGTCTCTTTGGACGCCCGACATGGGTACCGAAAAAATGGGCACGATGCCCAACAACAAATGTTGTCCCAAACCAGCAGCGGCCGCTGTTGGGCAGGCGGCCTCCTGTCTCGAATGGACACAGGCCGCGGCGGCGTGGACAGCGAGGCCTGTTCAAAATGAACAGGAACTGCTGTTGGGCATTATACCCACTCTTTCGGTACGGCAGGTTCGTGTAGTGCCGACCCCAGCGTTGGTTTTTGACACCGCAGGGATCGTTCAACCTTGAACGATCGGCCGCTGCCGCAACGTCCGATCGTTCAACATCGATCGATTCTGGGTCGCCCGCGGCGTTCAACCTTGAACGTCCGCGCTGGGGTCGCCGCTGGTCGACACGACGCGAACCTACCGTACCCATTTCGGGCGTCCAGAGTCTCCGCGGCCTCGTCCAGCGAGCCCCTGTGGCCCAACGGGCCGTCGTCGCTGGGCCGGCGGGCCTCCCCGGTCGCCCGCGAGCGGATGTCTCGGGCAGTGGCCGCCCGGAGGTGGAGCCCCGCCCGTGCCGCCGCTCGGCCGCGTCCGCAACCCAGCAGGCGGTCGTGCTTGGCGATGGCTCGCGGTGGCCAGCTCGTTGACCTGCCGCTGACGCCTAGTGCGAGAGAGTAACGATCTCAGTGTCTCTCTTTTTTTTTTTTTTTTTTTTTTTTTTTTTTTTTTTTTTTTTTTTTTTTTTTCTCTCTCTCTCTCTCTCTTTGTGATTATTCTCCTCTCTCGATACATGTACAACATGTGTATGCCCGTACAACACATTACATATACATGTACACATACATATTTGTATATGTCAATTTATGTATGTATGTGTGTATGTATGTACACATATATGTATATATATATATATATATTAGAACCATCGCGCCCGCTTCGCGCGCGCTCAAATTCTAGCTAGGCTTGATGGCCTAACTCATGGGATCTCATTTGGGTCGTTTCTTGCATCCAGGGACTCTCTTGGAGGCCCTGCGCAAGCCTCGGAATCACTGCGGACACGCAGAAATCATTAATTCCCGTTCGGTATTGAACGATTTGGGGCACTCAAGGACTTCCTGGTTTCTTTTCTGGGAGCTGAGGGGGGCCTTAAATGTGGTCTGTTTTGCACGATTAGACAGGGGGGGCGAACTTGAAAAAAAGGAAGAAGTGTGGTTCACTTTTTTTTCAAGTTGCCGTGCCTGGGCTGTGGGTTTGAAGTTTTCTGGATGCAGGCCACGGTATGTTGGGATTCCTCTCGTGGTCTCCGTGCCAAAAATAGACATGGGGCGAATTTGGAAAAAAACAGAAAATCAAAACTTTCTTTTTTTCGACTCATGGGGTCATGGGATCTCGAATTCTACGGTGGTTTCAGGGGCAGCCAAGAGGACACGAAGACGATCCAAGAGAGTTACAAGACAGCGTTAGAGAGTTCAACAGTATTCCTAACCAAACTTTGCATGTGACCCCGAAGTCTTGATGGGGCTCGAGGAAGAGGATAGGGAGTAGGAGTCCCAACTTGAAAAAAAGGGAATCTCTGGAATTCCTTTTTTTTCAAGTGCCTCGGTCTTTGAAATCTCTTGGAGGCTTTCTGGGAGCCAGGAGAGCCACCGAAAGCTATCCTGGGTTGCTTGGGAGCGTCTTGGGCAATTGTTTTACGTTGGGGGGGCTTCTTGGTCTTGGACTGTCTTTTGGCATGGTGGGGGCTCCCCGGGATGCCGGGAAGCGCGGTACCGGGAGCGTACACACACGAGATGTTCCGGGAAGGTGTGGGACCCCTGGACGGAGGGGGCGCGCATGGTTGAAATTGGAAAAAAAAGAGGAATATCTGAAATTCCCTCTTTCGTAAGATTTCTCGGTCTTTGAAGTCTCTTGGAGGCTTTCTGGGAGCCGGGAAAGCTGACCGAAAGCTATCCTGGGTTGCTTGGGAGCGTCTTGGGCAATTCTTGTACGTTGTGGGGGCTTCTTGGGGTCGTCTTGGACTATCTTTGGGCGTTGTGGGGGCTCCCCGGGAGGCCGGGAAGCGCGGTACCGGGAGCGTACACGAGATGTTCCGGGAAGGTGTGGGACCCCCGGGAGGAGGGGGCGCGCATTTGTTGAGTTTTTCAAAAAGGGAATCTCTGAAATTCCCTCTCTCTCTTTCTCTCTCTCTCTCTCTCTCTCTTTTTTTGTTTATTTCAAACTCCTCGGTCTTGGAGCGTTGGAAGCCGCAAATCGTGAGAAGGCGAAAGAAGTCGACGAAGACCACTGAAAATCAACGTTTTTACCCTCTTCGGGCTCTCTCGGGACGGCTCTCGAAGCTCTCTTGAGCTGTTTTGGGGGCCTCGTCGGCGCTTTTGTGGGAGCCTCTCAAGGGTCTGGGGTGTGTTGGAGTCCTCTGGGGGGTCCCGGAGTCCTCTCGGAGGTCTTTGGCGGCCTCCTGCTCCCGCTCTTAGGTTCATCTTGGGCCTGTTCTGGGGTGGTCTGGAGCTGTCCGGGGCGCCTCTTCGGCAGTCTTGGAACCGTCTTGGCCCGTCTTGGGAGCCTCTGGAACGGTCTTGGCCGTCTTGGAGCGTTGGCAGCATGAAATGGTGAGAACCAACAGCCCTGCAAAAAACCAGGAAAATTAACGATTTTGGGTTCTTCGGGCGCTCGCGGGGGGCCTCTCAGAGCTCTCTTGAGGTCTCTTGGAGGCCTCCTGGGAGCCTGGAGAGCCGTACGAAAGCTATCCTGGGTTGTTTTTGTGAGCGTCTTGGGGTCGTCTTCGGGCATGTGGGGGCTCCCCGGGAGGCTGGGAAGCGCGGTACCGGGAGCGTGCAGAAGATGTGAGCGAGGTGGAGGACGCCCTGGGAGGGGGTGCGGTGTATTTGTTTGTATTATATGTTTGTATAGGTTTAGGTATATACGCACATCGAGAGCAGGGGTTTATGAGGGAGCGAGAGGGAGAGAGAGAGAGAGAGAGAGAGAGAGAAAGTGAGACAGATAGAGAGAGAGAGAGAGAGCGACAAAACGACAGAGACAGCGAGAGAGAGAGAGAGAGAGAGAGTGAGTGAGAAAGAAAAAGACAGATTGAGAGAATGATAGAAATGAAAAAAGAAAAAGAAGGGAGAGACAGAGGAGAGAAGGAGATCCATTGACCCGGTGAGAAGCATAGTCGTTCTTCTCTTCTCCTTCTTCCTCGTCTTCGTCCTCGTCGTCGTCGTCGTCCTCCTCCTCCTCCATCTCCATATCTTCCTCCTCCTTCTCATCCTACTCTTCCTCCATCTCCTTCAGAAGGGGGAGGGCAATGAGGAGGAGATGAGGAGGAGAAGGGGGAGGAGGAGGAGAAGGAGGAGGAGGAGGAGTAGGAGGATAAGGGGGAGGGTCAAGGATGACGACGACGACGACGATGAAGCTGACGACGACGAAGATGGTTATTACGAAGATGATGATTCCGATGATGACAACGTGGCGAACAGGCAGGCGAGAGGAGACAGAGAGGGGGGGGCGGGCGAGGAGAAGGATTAGCCCCGAGGGAGGAGGACATGGGGGGGAAGGGGTGGAGAAGGGAGGGTGTGAATAGCCCCGAGGAGGAGGAGGAGGAGGAGGAGGAGGAGGAGGAGGAGGAGGAGGAGGAGGAGGAGGAGGAGGAGGAGGAGGAGGAGGAGGAGGAGGAGGAGGAGGAGGAGGAGGAGGAGGAGGAGGAGAGAAGGGAGGAGGAACGGGCTGTGAATAGCTGGGGTGCACCGTCCTCTTCTGGCCGTATTGCTGGTTGCCGCCGCGCTGCGCTGCGAGTTTCAGCACCGCGTCTTCCTCGCCCAGGTCGATGCGCAAGTTGCGGTATCTCCTGGCCTCCTCCGTGATCTTGACGAAGGCCTCGATGTGTCTGCAAACTCCTCCTCCTCCCTTCTCACTTCCCCCGCCTCCTCCTCCTCCTCCTCCTCCTCCTCCGCCTCCTCCCCCTCCTCCTCCTCCTCCTCCTCCTTCTCCGTCCCTCCTCCGCCCCTCGTCCTCCTCCTCTTTCTCCCCCTCCAGTTCCTGTCCTTAGAGATGATTTCTCCCAGGCACCCCGAGGCCAGTTTTTAGGGCGGGTCGGGCGTTTCGCCTGAGACTTCTTCACCATTTGACCCTGAAGCTTCAACATTGGCAATCGTTTCACAGATGGAGGGCGGGTCGTTTTCAAAATGTGGCTCTCGCTGTAGCGCTGCGCACGCTCGTTTTAAACAATTGCAGGGGTTTCGCGGGGTGTGGGCGGGCAGTTTTCAAAATGTGGCTCGCGCCTTAGCGCCGCGCGCATTCGCTTTAAACACGTGCAGCAGTTTTACGGATTAGGGCGGGCCTTTTTCAAAATGTGGCTCTCGCCTTAGCGCCGCGTACATTCGTTTTAACATTTTACAATAATTTCACGGATTGAGGGCAGTTCCTTTTCAAACTGTGGCTCTCGCCTGAGCGCCGCGCACATTCGTTGTCTATTTGTTTGTTTTTCTCCCAATAGGCTTGCCCTACAGGAGTCCTAGCTCAAACCCTACTAATTGGTCCGTTGCCCCCCCTTAATTCCTATGCCCCCCTAATTCCTGTGCCTATGCCGATCCCCCTTTTTCAAATGGCACCCCCCTTATGTATGCTTGCTTGCTTGCTTACGCGTTTGCTTGCTTGCTTGCTTGTCGGCGCGCTTGCACGCTTGCTTGCTTGCTTGCTTGCTTGCTGAGTTGCGGGCTCCAAGCATGCTCGATTCCTCTGATTCCTTGGTTTGAGTCGTCTAATCTATTTGGAACCAACGCTGGTTGATATATGTTGTTTCCGTTTTGTTTTGCAGTAGTTTCACGGGCTCCTATGACCAGATCACCAAACATGGTGTTTGGAGCGAGTCAAGATTATGAGGGTGCAACAATTACTTTGGTTCGCGGTGTTGAAAATCCAGGAACGGCGTTCTGGCACGATTCAAGATCGTCAAGACGCAACAGTCAGGTGGATCCGTGGCGTCGTTGGGATCCCGAAAAACAATGTTTTGGCATGCTTCAGGGTCTTCAAACGGTTGTCCTCCAACGAGGCATTTAGTTCCCCCAGTGGAAATGAATCGCTGTAGGGGCCTATCAAGAGGGATCTTGGAGGGAGGTTTTACTCCAACACCGTTGGTGACTCTTGGGTTTACACTGGTCCTTATCCTCCTCCTCCTCCTCCTCCTCCTCCCTCCTCGTCCGCTACCTTTTCGATTTTGTGGTCATCTATGTTGCTGTCTCTTGAACCGCTGCCACCGCGTGCAATGCGGCAGAGCCGGGGTGTGTGCGCAAATCAATCTATCGCAGCGGCTGCTTGGTGCTTGCGGTGCTCATCCTCCTCTTCCCTCCTCTTCCCAAACCAACCCTTCGCCTCGTTCTCCCCCTTCCTCGCTGCCAAGCGTGCGGGGGAAGCCGTCAAGCCGTGTGCCCCCCGCTCGGCAGAGGGAGGGACTTATGAGCTCGGTTCCATCCCGCCAGGGACCCTCGGGCGGATGCGACCAGGAAGCAGGAGACACACTTGTGCGTCGCAGCGCGGCAGAAGCAACGCGCGCACGTGCGTTCGGGCAAGCCGGGTGACGGCGTTGGCAGCGAGAGCGGGGAGGAGCGGCCGCGGGAGAAGAAGGGAAGGCTAGAACGCTCACGCGGCGGGGGCCGCTTCGGAGCGGCCTGGGCGGCGGGCCGGTGCTGCACCCCTGGCAGCGGGCGCGGGGCGGCGTCGCGGCTGAACTGAAAACACACATGGCTGGACCCACTTGTGGAACATCAGGAGGCCACGTGCTGGATGCACATTCCGAAGCCCAGCGTGCACGGCCACAGAAGGGCCGAGCACTGGAAAGACATCTGGCTACACGCGGGTCCAGCCCTCGCCCAAGCCAGCCACGCAGTGTGCAGTCAGCTCCCTGCCAGGACTCGCCCGCGACGATTGAAGATCGAGGACTTTGGACGCTCTTGCTTTTTGTCGTGCATCTGGGTGCATCCAGGGACCTCCAGGGACCCGCCTGGAGGTCCCTGGATGCACCTGGGGACCCAAATGCACCCAAATGGGTCCCTGGATGCACCTAAATGCACCCAAGTGCACCCAAATGCACCCAAATGCACCCAAGTGCACCCAAATGCACCCAAATGCACCCAAATGCATCCAGGGACCTCCAGGGGGGGTCCCAGACGTTCGACGACTTGTACCTCTCAAGGCGGGGTCCCTGGAGGTCTGGACCTGTTCCCCCGGGCCCGCTCTTCCTCCCAAGTCGTTTTCCGACGGTCCTGGGGCCGGGCGAGGCCCCCCAAGGAGAAGGAGGAGGAGGAGGAGGAGGAGGAGGAGGAGGAGGAGGAGGAGGAGGAGGAGGAGGGGGAGGAGGAGGGAGGAGGAGGAGGCATCCAGGGACCTCCAGGGAACAGCGGGGTCCCAGACGTTCGACGACTTGTACCTCTCAAGGCGGGGTCCCTGGAGGTCTGGACCTGTTCCCCCGGGCCCGCTCTTCCTCCCAAGCCGTTTTCCGACGGTCCTGGGGCCGGGCGAGGCCCCCCAAGGAGGAGGAGGAGGAGGAGGAGGAGGAGGAGGGGAGGAGGGGAGGGGGGGAGGAGGAGGAGGAGGGGGAGGAGAAGGAGGAGGAAGAGGGGGGGAGGAGGAGGAGGAGAGAGGAGGAGGAGGAGGAGGAGGAGGAGGAGGAGGAGGAGGAGGAGGGAGGAGGACGAGGAGGAGGAGGAGGAGGTGGTGGAGGAGGAGGCCGAAGTCTGCGAACGACTTCCGCACCGAGTTCCTCGAGACGTTGGCGGTCTGGGGTTGGCAGGGCCCGAGGCTGCGCACAGGCAGCTCCTGGAGACAGCCCTGGCCGGCTTCGCCAGGCCACCAAGGTACTGATACGTCGGGCGTGTCCCCCTACAGGGGGATTTTGGGCGAAAGCTAAAAACAACTCAAAAAATACCTTCCGAATGCTCAAACATAATCAAAAACAGTGTCCCCAGACTATTTTTGGACTATTTTTGAAAATTCCCCCTGCAGACCCGACTTAAAGGTGCTGAAAAGGAATCCAGGGTCTGGACGCCAGTGGAACACCAACTGAGGCTGTGCCATTGAGGTCACCGCCGCCCTCACCAGACCAAGAATCATCCAGGGTCTGAAGCCTCCCGGGCACATTCCTTGATGAACGCCCTCACTGTATAGCACACGGCGGTCTCAGCATCATGGCACCGCCTCTGGCGGCGCCCCCAACGGCGCCGCTCACTCCTCCAACCCGAACTACCACAGGGGGCCTATCGAGGCCCTGCTGGTCCTGTTCTCCTCGGCCTCCTCATCCTCCTCCTTCTCCTCCTTCTCCTCCGCAGCCTTCCTCATCCTCGCCCCTCTTCCTCCTCCTCCTCCTCCTCCTCCTCTTCCTCTTCCTCGTCCCTCTTCTTTCTCCTCCTCCTCCCCGTCAGTCCTCCTCCTCCTCCTCCTCCTCTTCCTCTTCCTGCCCCCTCCGAAGCGGATGCAGCCACACCGCCAGCGCGCTCGATGGCATAATGGCTGGACAACCTCTGGGGGGCGATCTCTGCGCAAACCCGAGTCTTCCCAGTGGGGGCGAGTGGGGCCTGGTATGTCTCCATCTCCTCCTGCAGGCAGCTGACGAGCGTGCCCTTGCTGTCGACAAGGACCATATCCTTGACCAGTTCGACGGCGTCCTTCGACGTCTCCTTGCCGAACGACTGCGGACTGAAACCCTTCTTGAAATACTTCTGGTAATAATGATCCAGGTGGTCCACGTGCAGGCCAGGGAGGTCCTCGTCACCGCAGTCCTTCTTGAACGAGTGGGCCATTAAGTGAAGCTCGAAAGCGAATGACATCAACGTCCAATCGTCCTGGGTGAACTCCTTGTACAACGGCATGCCGCCGCCAATGTCCGTGACATCTTCCACTCCGAATACGTCGATGCCTTCGAAATCTACCTGTGGCTCCGGCTCGTCGTCGTCGTCCTCCTCTTCCTCGATCTCCTCCACCACCTCCTGCTTCTTGTCATCCTCTTTGACCTCGCCATTCTTCTTGTCCTCTTCGGCCTTGGCCTTCGCCGCGGCAGCCTTTGCCGCAGCCTGTTTCTTCCTGGCCTCCTTCGCCGCCTTGTCGGAGCGCTTTTTCGCGAGGTTTGACGAGTACTTGGCGAGGGCGGCCTGCCACTCATGGACAGCCTTCTCCCAACTTTTCTTGTTCGTGTGGAACCAAGCGGAGGGTTTAATCTCCTCCACCCGAGTGGTCAGCTTGCGACTTGAGATCCAATCCTGAACGAACTTCTTGCACTTGGCGCCATCCTTCAAGAACTCATACCGGATCTCGTCGAAACCCTCCTCTTTCTCTGGAAGCGAGAACTTTGTGAACGTCGTGTTCATCACGTACTCAGTAAGGTCTGGGATAACTGCGGGCTTGAAGGAAAGTTGCTTCTCCTCGGCAGTGAGGGTCATCTTAGGAGGGTCGTCCTCCACTGGCTCCGGCTCCTCAGGCTCAGCCTCCTCAGGCTCCTCTTCTTCAGGTTCCTCCTCTTTCTTCTCTTCCTCCACGACCTCCTTTCCCTCCTTGGCCGCCTCGGCCTTCTTCTTCGCCTCCTCGATGGCCTTGGCCCTGGCCTTGGCCGCCTTCTCCTTGTCCTTCGCCGCCTTCTGGCGGGCCTTCTCCAACTCCTTTTGTCTCTTATCGAACAGCCACTTCTTCTTCGTGGCCTCGAACTTCTCCTGGTGCTCCTTGTTCGCGGCGTCCTGCTTTTGCTTGAGGAATAGCATCTGCGACCTCTTCTTGAACTCTGGCGTCGGGGTTCCCACCAAGACCGCCGCCGACGTCTTGAAGTTCGATGCCTTGAAGGGCTTGAGTGCCTCCGCCCTGTCCTCCTTGAACAGGTTACCCTTTACCTGGCGGATTCCGGAAACCTGGAACCCAAAAATATTGTCATCTCTGGGGAGACGGACTTTTGCTTCCGACGGCTTCCGCCGAGCTTCCACCGCCTTCCGCCGACCTTCCGCCGCCTTCCGCCGCAGAAGAGATAGCAACTCCTTCGATCCTCGAAGGCGAGGCCCTTTTTCGAACGCCTCACCTCCATCACGACATACTTTCGCTTCTGGAGCGCGCAGAGGCTCCTCAGTGCGCCCTTGACAGTGCCGTCGTCGATCGCCCAGACTCCGAAGCCCATCTCGGGCCTGCCGCCGCCGCAGCCGCCGCTGCCGCCGCCGTCGTCGTCGTCGTCGCCGCCGCCGCCGCCGCCGTCGTCGTCGTCATCGTCGTCGTCGTCATCGTTGTCGTCGTCGTCGGCGTCGTCGTGGTCGATCGCCCAGAACCCGAAACCCATCTCGGGCCTGTCGTTGGAGGTCCTTGCCGGCCTGTCGCTGGGCGGATGCGGCCCCCAACTCTTCTCGGCCCAGTCCCGGATGGCCCGGTCGCTGATCTCGGTGTACCTCTAGATTTCGTAACCAAAAGGAGGGGGTCACGACCCTCCCAAACGTGCAGATTGAGAACCCCCCAACCCAGCCATGAGAGGGCGGCCTTTTGCCCAGACCCCGCGGAACCCTCCAAGACAGCTTACATCAGACCCCCCTTGAAAAATCAAACCACCCACTTTTATTATGACGCTCGGAGTACCCTGGGTTCTTCTCGAGGTACATGTCCAGCCAATCGAAGCTGCCTGGGGCGTCGCTTAACGGGGGGGCGATTACAAGTGGGGGCAGAACGGCGCACGTTTCGGGCCCCCCCCAACCCCCTGTGGGACCCTAAGAGGGCACCGTAAGGGCTCTAAACGTGGGTCGGGGGGCTTGCAGGTGATGTAATTCTGGGGGATGCCAGCCCATCCTCGTAGTTCTGGTGTAAGTTCCGCAGGGGGGGGGGGGGGGGGCAGGTAACGAAATTGTCCCCTCTCATGTTGCGCACTGCTAACGGTGACCCCCAACGCCCATTTTCGTTGCTGTCGTATGGTGCGGTGCGTGAGGCATAGCACAGCACGGCATGCAGCAGAGGATAGGCCGGTACAGCCATTATAACGCCGTTTTGTGCGGTGCGTGAGGCATAGCATAGCACGGCATGCAGCTGAGGATAGGCCGGTACAGCCATTATAACGCCGTTTTGTGTGGTGCGTGAGGCATAGCACCACATGGTGGTGACATGGGCCCATCTCTGTCGGCACGAGCCCATGCGTTTATTTTTGCTGCATGTTTGCACGCGATGGGCTCGCCGCGTCTCCGTGGCACGGGAAGGGTGGCAATGCCCCTCCCGTTCCCGGCGCGGTGTGGTCCGTGAACCTTGGCTCAAGTTTGGTGCGCTGTGTGGAAAATGGTCCATCAGCGTACCGAGGCGCGCGAACGAGATCGCCTCTACCTTCGCCTCGCCATCTCGCTAAACATCCTAGTAAGACTGAAACTCCGACTGTCCATACCCCCCCACCAAAACCACACTTTGCCGATATCGCCCTCGCAGGTCTTCCGACTTCTCAGGGGGCTGGTAGAAATGCGAGACATCCTAGACGTGCAATGTTTCCCCCCGCCGGAGAAGATTACAGCAGCAATGGAGGAAGAGGTGGGAGCGCTGGGCGCGTAGCGCCCCAAAGCTAAAGGGCCCCTTTTCTGCAGCCCTCGCTGCCCCCCCACTTATCGCCCCCCCATTACGTGACGCCCAACCGCCCTGGTCTGGTAGGCTCACCGGGAAAAGCACCTCGCCCTCATCTGTGGCCTCGTACGTCGTGACCTCAGCGTCGGTCTTCAAGGCCGACCCAACCATGTGGCACTTGAAGGGGAGCGAGCATATAGGCTCTGGACCGAAGTTCGTGTGCAGCGTCATGCACTTGAAGGCGACAGTGGGGAACATGGGCTTACCCTGCAAGCTCTCAGGGAGAGCCTGTGGCTGCGCAACACGCACCCCGTTCTTGAAGAGGCTGATTGTATTGCAGTTTGGGCTACCCTTTTCGAGGTTAATGAGGCACGCCACCACGTCGCCTGCAAACAATCTCTCGCTGACCTTGGCACGCGTTGCACTGCCGCTGAACAGACCAGTGGAATCAAAAGAAACACTGGTATCCGAATCCAGCAGCAACGACGAACCAGCAATAGAAAAACCAATCTTCATATAACTCTTGATATGCTTTGAAGATGGAGACTCCACGATCTTGATCTCGAACATGTACCGCCCCGACCTGACTCCAACGTTGGCACGTGCGCCGGCCAAGAGGCACTGAAAGCCGTTGTCCTGGAGAGACATGAGGATGTCCCCGACGGTAGAGGTCATGACATTCACCGTCGTATCGGGCACCAAGAACTCAACGGCACCTTGCCCCGCCCCCCCTCCCCAAATCCGCTCGAGACGGGCCCCCATACCCCTCCCTGGGCCCGTCGTGGGCAGCTTCTTGAACCGCGCCCATCAGTGAAGCTCCCAAGGGCTCCCCCTAAAACCCAGAACGGCTCCGCCGTCGCCGCCGCCGCCGCCGCCGTCGTCGTCATCGTCGTCGTCGTCGTCGTCGTCGTCGCCGTCGCCGTCGCCGTCGCCGCCGCCGCCGCCGCCGCCGCCGCCGCCGTCGTCGTCGTCGTCGTCGTCGTCGTCGTCGTCGTCGTCGTCGTCGTCGTCGTCGTCGTCGTCGTCATCGTCGTCGTTGACTTGGCGCCTACTTTGCCTCCCTTCAACGGCTTCGCGTCCACCTCGTGCTCTTGGGGCGGCTCGGGCCCCTTCTTCTCCTCGGCCATCTCGACGTTCTCGGCCGCCTGTGGGATGACGGGGGAGGGGGAGACGAAAGGGGGATGAGGACGATGAGAAGGACGACGGGTGTGGATGAGGGAACGAGGAGAATGAGGAGAAGAAGGAGGGAGGGGAGGGAAGGAGGAAGGAGCTGGAAGGAGGGAGGGGAGGGAAGGAGGAAGGAGGAAGAAGGAAGGAGAATGAGAAGGAGCTGGAAGGAGGGAGGGGAGGGAAGCTTAGGAGGCAGCAGGACGAGGGAGGAGACGACACGAGGGGGGAAGACGGGGGGGAGAGCGGGAGGGAGGAACACAAAGGGGAGGATGTGTCAACGATGCTGCAATACACCCCTCCACCTCCTCCTCCTCCTCCTCCTCCTACTCCTCCTCCTCCCCCTCCCTCCTCCTTCTCCTCCTCCTCCTCCTCCTCCTCCCCCTCCTCCTCCTCCTCCTCCTCCTCCTCCTCCTCCTTCTGCTCCTCCTCCTCGTCCTCTCCCTCGGACATTACACGCATTCCTTAAGCGTCCCCTGGACTTGTCATTCAGACCATAGCTCCGTTTTGCAAGGGGCCACCCTCTATCCTTGTAGCATCGGAAAACGCCAAGCGGTAAGATCACACAACGCTGGGACATGTCCAACGAGAAACCCGTTCTGAACAGGAGCTGCCCTCCATCCGTGAAGCCGCTGCGCCATTTTGGGTCGTGGTCTTCGTATTGGAAAGCAGCTCGAACGACAACACCACCGTTTTGATAAAGCACCATTTGCGTGGCGCAAGACGCGGGACACCGACATTCTACTCATTATACTTGAGGAGCGCATTCAGTTTGAATATCCAGCTTCATCTCTTGGCCGCGCGCCTATGCTACTTCCTGTCTCATCCAAGGGCCGCGCGTCGACCTAACACCACGCCACATGCGCGGCCTTGCTATCAGTGCTCGTCCTGCTCCCCTGGGCGAGAGGGGGGGAGGGCTGACCCGATCGTCTGGCCTGATCGATCGAGCCTCAAACGCCCGCTACAAGGCTTACTCGACGCACTGCGCTCAACGGCGGGATCTGAGGAACTCTCACGCGAGAGCCATACTCGGAAAACGCGTCCCCATCAAGTGGAGTGCTGCGTGACTTTGCGACGCAAGGTCGACTTCCCGCAGAGACCGCGAGTGAGAACACTACGTTCAAACGGGGCTTTCCGGTTCCAACGTAACTTTGCACACTTGTGCGGCGAGTTCGCGCGGCGCCAGGGTGGGAACACCGGCTTGGACAAGATTCGTTCTCTATCCGTTGAGCCGCTGCTGCGCTACTTTAGATGGTGGCTGTAAATATTTGAGGATCTCTCAAGCACTAACACCGTTTTGAAAAAGGCGCCTCTCCAGTCTACACAAGTGTGGCACGACATATGGGGAGCTGGCATTGCACTTGAGGGGCGCATGCAACTTGGGTGTCAAGCGTCATACCTTGGCTGCGCTTTTGCTACTTCCTGTCTCATCAAATGGCTGCGCTCCGCCATGACATCACGTCACATGCATACAAGTACTACCCATGGTCATCCTGAAACTCGAAGGGGGAGGGAATGGCCTGGTCCGATCGCGGATGGTGATCGATCAATCCTCAGACGCCCACTGCAGGGCGTACTCGACGCAATTCGCTCGACAACGAGGCATGAGGATCGGCACATCGCCGTCGAGGAGGTCTGTCTAACGCGCCATACACTTGGAGGAACTGTCAAACAAGAGCCACACTCCGAACATTATGCGTCTACGTCGATTGGAGGGTGCTGCGTAACTGTGCTGGATCGGATGGGCTTCAGGCAGACGTCGCGAACGAGAGCATTACCTCCAAAGCATTACCTCCAAACGGAATGGCGCTGCTTCAATGTAGCTTGAGGACTTGGTAAGGCGAGTTCGCGCGGCGCCAAGGTGATAACACCGTTCTGCAGAAGATTCGCCCTCTATCCGTGGAGCCGCTGCTGCGCTATTGTAGACGGTGGCCGTGAATATTTGAGGATCTCTCAGAAACCAGCGCCGTTTTGAAAGGGAGCCGCCTCAATCTGTATAGGTATGGCGCAACATCTGAGAAGCCGACATTGTACTTGAGGGGCGCGTGCGGCTTCAGTATCCAGATTCGTCTCTTGACTGCGCTCTGCTACTTCCTGTCCCATCCAAAAGCTGTGCGACGACCTAACATTACGTCACACGCATACGCTTGCTACTAATGTTCATCCTGTTCAATTTGGGGGTGGGGGGGAACCTGGCCCGATCGCCAGGGGTGATCGGTTGAGCCTCAGACGCCCGCTACAAAGCTTAATTTGATGCACGGCGCTCGACAGCAAGGTATGAGGATCGGACTATCGTTGTCGAGGAGGTATGTTTAACGAGCCATGCACTTCGAAACATTAAACGAGAACCGTACTCCGAAACAGATGCGCCTCCGTCAATTAATGTGCTGCGTAACTTTGCAGACTCAACGTGGTCGACTTCTGCAGAAATTGCGAGCGAGAACGCTATCTTCAAACGGAACTGCCCTGTTTCAGTGTAACTTTGGCAACTTGCAAAATGAGTTCGTAAGCTGCCCAGGTGGAAACACCATTTTGAAAACGGTTCACCCTCATCTGTGGAGCCCTTGGTACACATGAAATGAATGTGCAAAACGCTAAAGGGACACTGATGTTCTTGCCGCCATCTATCGTTGAAGCTGTCGGAATCACCTTCGTGATCACGTAGTTGGAATGGATCTCTTGCGAACCGCCCAGAGTTGTTCATGAGGCAAAGGATGATGGATGACGGAGGGAGTAGGAAGGCAGGGATGCAGAGGAGGATGGAGGGGATATGGAGGAGGAGGAGGAGAATAAAGGAGGAGAGATGAAGGGGAGAGGTGAGGGGCAGAAGGAGGATGATGAGGTGGATGAGGAGGAGGAGGAGGGATGAGAAGGAGGATAATGAGGGAGGGACGTAAGAGGGATGGTGCTGAAAAGGGAGACGAAAAATGATGAGGGAGGCTAAGGAGCAGGATGAAGAAGACGAAGTGGAGGATGATGATGAGGATGAGGATGGTGATGAGGATGACGATGAGGAGAAGGAGGAGGAGGAGGAGGAGGGGTGATGTGGCAGGGAAAAGGAGGACGATGAGTAGGAATATGAGGAGGATGAGTGAAGGGGCAGGAGGATGGATGAGGGATGAGGAGGTGGGGTGAGGGAGGGAGGGGAACCGAGGGAGGACGAGGAGAATGCGGAGGAGATGAGGAGGATGAGGAGGGAGAGAAGGATAGACGCCAGCCGAGACGGCCGCCAAACTAGGAATGAGATGATGATGAGGAGGAGTTGAAGGAGGAGGAGGAGGAGGAGGAGGAGGAGGAAGAAGCGCTCCTCAGTCTTCTGCTTCTTCTCCGGAGGGGCCGCCATGGCGATTAAGGTGGGGAGAAACAAGAAAAGAGAGGCACACCCTACCCTCCTTTGGAAACGGGACAAGAAGAGAGAATGCACTGAATGTGATGCTGTGCGGGTGGGCTTCCAAGATTCCATCCTCGTCCTGCTCCTCCTTCTCATCCCCCTCGTCCTTCTCTTGCCTTGTCCTCCTTGTCCTCTCTTCTCCGCCGCCTCCCTTTTTCTCCTCGTCCTCTTCCGCCTCTGTCTCCTCCTCCTCTTCCTGCTCCTTCTCCCCCTTCGCCTACTCATTATCCCTCCTTCCACTCCTTCCTCTTTTTCGGGCTCCGGCTCATCGTCCTGGAAAATGCTTCATCGTCGCCTCACCACGAGCCGCGCAAGTAAGGCGGGCCAGGCCTGAGATTTCCCCGCCAAGTCTGACCCTGAAACTGGGGAGATGTCGAACATTTGCACGGGTGGGGTGCGGCTGGTTTTCCAAGTGTGGCTCTCGCCCTAGCGCCGCATGCATTCGCCTGGAATCTTTCCAAACGTTGCAAGGACGGAGGGCGGATGGTTTTCACAATGTGGCGTTCGCCTTAGCGCCCCCTGCAAATGTTCCTGTCTAGAAGCTTCCAACAGTTATCAGGATCGAGGGCGGGCCGTTTTCAGAAGGTGCCTCTCGCCTTCATCACCGCGCGCGTTCTTTTCTGAAATGCGCAAGCACTTGCAAACATGGAGGGCAGCCCGCTTCCAATATGCCACTCTCGCCGTACAGGTGGACCTAGGAGAGAAGAACATCCTCCAAGACCACGAGACCCTACGCCGGCCCAAATTGAAGAATCTTCGAGGGCACTCTCCCCCAGGATGCACAAGAACATCCAACAGACACGAAGAACGCTAGGGTGCCCTACCCGAACCGATCTCGATCTTATGCCTCGGGGTCCGACCGTAGTAGCGCTCACATTCGTTTTATAACACTAAACGGTGCCCTTCCCTAGGATGCACAATGACATCCAGCAGCCACAAAAAACGTTAGGGTGCCCACCCCGACCCGACCTCGATCTTATACCTCGGGCCAACCGTCGTAGCGCGCACACTTGTTTAACAACACTCGATGATACCCTCCCCCAGGATGCACAAGAACATTCAGCAGAGACGAAGAACGTTAGGGTACCCTCCCCGGGCCAACCTCGATCTTATACCTCGGTCCGACCGTGGTAGCGCTCGCATTCGGTCAATAATTTTTGATGGTGCCCTCCCCAAGGATGCACAATAACATCAAGCAGACACGAAGAGCGTTAGGGTGCCCTCCCCGAGCCGACCTCGATCCTATACCTCGGGCCGGCCGTCGTAGCGCTCACACTAATTTCAGACCATTCGAGGAAACCGTCCACAAGAATGCACAAGAACATCCAGCAGGCACGAAAAACATTAGGGTACCCTCCCCGAGCCTTCCTCGATCCTATACCTCGATCCGACCGTAGAAGCGCTCACACTCGTTTAACAGTATTCGAACATATCCTCCCCCAGGGTGCACAATACCATCCAGCAGGCACAAAGAATGTTAGGGTGCCCTCCTCGAGCCGACCTCGATCTTATACCTCGGTCCGACCGTAGTGGCGCTCACACGCTCACACTCGTCTAACAGCATTCGAGGGCACCCTCCCCCAGGATGCACAAGAACATCCAGCAGCAAGACAAATGTTAGGGTATCCTTCCCAAGCCGACCTCGATCGTATACCTCAGGCCTGCCGTAGTAGCGCTCACACTTGTTTCATAATATTCGAGGATTCCCCCCCCCCAGGATGCATATCAACGGCGAGCGAGGGGCGGAAATGAGAAGGAGAAGGCCTTCTCAGAAGTCGGCTGGACTTCAGAGAAGGCCTCGCGCCTTGTAAGACACTTTCTGTGTCTTCGGGGAAGGTTCAAACAACTTCTCAGAAGGCAGGGGGACTTCCGGGTTTTCTGAAAAGGCCCGCTTCTTCTCACTCACCCCCCCTCGCTGACCGCTGAGCACGAGAACATCCAGCAGACACGGAGAACGAGGTCTTCGCCTTCTCACTCCTCCCCTCGCTCGCCGTCGATTCAAACCTTCCTACCAGTGTATCAGAAGCCTGGAGCGGTACAGCAACTACATTGGCGGAGGGCGCTTCCTTTTCGAAGCGGGGCCCTCGCTTGGGTGGCAGGCTCCGTTTTGAAGAGGCCTCTGAGATTTAAAAGACTGCTCGTACGAGCTTGAAGGAACTTCGGATGGGAGGGTTTGCTGCAGCGTCGCTGATGCGCTCTGGGTTTACTCTGGTCCTCCTGCTCTTCCTCCTGTTGCTTTTCCTTTTCTTGCTCTTTCTCCTGTTCCTTCTTCGTCCTCCTTCCTCCCGCTGACCATATATCCCCCCGTTTTCCCATCTTCCGCATTTCCCTTCTCTCTCTCTCCATTCCCATCTCCTTGTATTCCCCCCCACACACCTCCTCCTACTTCCTCCTGCTCCTCCTCCTCCTCCTCCTCCTCTTCCTCCTCCTCCTCCTCCTCCTCCTCCTCCCTCATTCCCTCACCATTTCCCATCGATGTCATCATTTTCGCATTCCTGATTCCCCCTCCTCGTTCCTACCTCATCCCCATCTCTTCGAAACATCTTCCTGCTCCGTTCGGCTTATCGTCCTGATAATTCTGCTCCTCATTCCCCCTCTCATATCTTCCTCCCCATCTCCACGTGATAGTAATATTATTCTCTTCCTACCTGTTCCTCCTTATCCTGCTCCTAGCCTTCCTCCTAATCCTTGCCCCAGTCCTCCTCCTCTTCATCCTCCTCATCCCCCTCCCCCTCCTCCTCGTATCCCTCTTCTCCTCCGCACCGCATCATCCTCATGCTCCTCCTCCCTCTACCTCTGGCTCCTCCTCCTCCTCCTTCCTCCTCCTGTCTCCTCCCCCCTTCCTGCTCTTTCGGCGAGGGTGAGTATCCCTCTTCCCGTTCTCTCCGCAGACGGGGCTCCTAGCGGCCCGTCGGCCCAAGTCACTCGGCCTGGGGGGATGAATGAGCCGGCCGCGACCAGACCGCACACCCGGAGCCCAAACGGCTGCGGCGCCACCAATGTTGCTACCTGCCCGCCCCTACCGGTGCCCCTGGCCCCAACGCGTCCTCCTCCCCCTCCCCCTCTCCCCCTCTTCCCCTTTCCTGTCCCCCTCCGCCTCCTCCTCCTCCTGCCGCCTCCTCCGCCTGCTCCTCCTCCTCCTCTACCTCGGCCTCCGTCCACGTCCTTGTTCTCGTGCTCTTCGTCGTCGTCGTCGTCCTCCTCCTCCATGTCTTTTCCTTATAAATAACTTCTCCCTGTCGCACCCCGAGGCCTGTTTTTATGGCGGGCCGGGCGTTTCGCCCGAGACGTCCTCACCATTTAGGACCTTAAGCTTTAAAAGTGGCAGCAGTTCCACAGATGGAGGGAGGGTCGTTTTCAAAATGTGGCTCTCGCCAAAGCGCCGCGCATATTCGTTTAAAGAGTTGCAGGAGTTTGACGAATCGAGGGCGAGTGGTTTTAACCATGTGGCTTTCGCCCTCACGCCGCGCGCATTCGTTTCAAACGTGTGCAAGAGTTTCACGAATTGAGGGTGGGTCGTTTTCAAAATGTGGCTGTCGCCGTCGCGCTGCGCACATTTGTTTCAAACATGTGCAAGAGTTTCACGGATTGAAGGCGGGTCGTTTTGTGGCTGTGCCCTAGCGCCGCGCGCATTCGTTTCAAACATGTGCAACAGTTTCACGGACTCCCATGATCAGCGTACCAGACATGGTGTTCTGGAGAGATCCAGGATTATGAGGGTGCAACAGTTAAGTTGATTCGCAATGTTGAAGTCCCAGGAATGGCGTTCTGACACGATTCAGGATCGCCAAGACGCAACAGGCTGGTTGATCCGTGGCGTTGGAGTCCCAAGAATGATGTTTTGGCATGCCTCAGGGTCTTCAAACGGTTGTCTTCCAACGAGGCAGTTCCATCAGTGGAAATGAACCGTTGTAGGGGCCAATCGAGAGGGAGCTTGGAGGGAGGGTTTATTCCAGCATCGTTTGTGGCTCCTGGGTTTACACTGGACCTCCTCCTCCTCCTCCTCTTCCTTCCCTCTCCTCCTCCTCCTCCTCCTCCTCCTCCTCCTTATCTCCTCCTCCTTCTCCTCCTCCTCCCTCTCCTCTTCCCTTCCCTCTTCCCGTTGGTTTCGGACCGATATAGCTAGGGTCTCCTCCAGAACTGGCTGGAACGATATGCAATTTTGCAAATGATGCTGCATTCTGTGATCATGTGATTATATGGCTTCTGCCTGGAATGCCGTTACATCCCCGCTCAGGTGGTGCCATTCTGAATGCCACGGCTTGTACGTCGGCCCTGGGGATCCACTGAACTGGGTCAATCCCCACCTGGGTCAGTCAGGCTTTGCAGGATCCTGCGCTCCAGCCCGGGTCAATGAACCACTGGCTCTGCAGGATCCTGCAAGATCCGGCGCTCTGGCTGGCTCCCGATTGCGTTGGCCCCCGTCCCTTGAGCCCCGACTTCCCCCTTCTCCTCACTCTCTCCCTCCCCCCCCGCCCCCCTCGCGCCCCTTCGTCCTGCCGCCCCTCACCTTGCCACTTGCCCTCCGCTCCATGCTGGCAGCTCCCGCGGTGGCACGCCCTTAGGGCACGGAGGGTTCCGCCAGGTGCTCGCGTCCACCGACGGTGCCACCTTTGCAGAGGATCGGCGACGAGCCCGGAGGGGCAGTGACAAGGGGCGGGCCTGCGCAGAGGACTTGGAAGGCCCCCGGCTTTCTGTGAAATTCTCAGATCCTGCCCCGGAGACAGAGAAGACTTCTCAGAAGGTGGAGTCGATGGGGTCGGGGGATCGGGGCAAATCGCCGATGTATCGGCGATGCATTGGCGATGCATCGGCGATGCACCGGCGAAAGGGCCGGCGGATCCTGCAACCGAGCCGCCCAAACCGGACCGGCTGAAACTGAACCGGCCAGTTCGAACCGAACGGGCCGATCGAAACCGGCCCGAACGGCCAACCCGAACCGGCGGAACCGAACCGGCCCTCAGGTGCCACACTCAGAGACCCTGGCACCGCTCTAGGGGACCCCATGGGGGATGGGGGCCCCCTAGAGCGGTGTCAGGGTCTCTGACGATAGCCCGAAGAATGCCCCCAAGAGGCCCCCCAAAAGAGCTTCGCTTCGCGACGCTCCCCGACGGAGAATGAAGAGGGAGGAGGGAGGAGGGAGGAGGAGGAACCGCGTCCTCCCGCCATGGGGGCCCGTTGGCACCACTCATCGCCGCCCGCGTCGCCTCGCTTGCCATGGGGGCCCCCGAGGCACCGTGGCGGACCAACAAATCCTTGGCCCTCAAGGCCTGGACAGGGGAAGGGCCGCAGGTTTTTCGGCTTCCCGCCCGAAGCTGGGCGAGGGGCATTGGCGTTCTCGCCAACAGGCTACACTTGCGGCACCTCCTCTCATGGCGGCCTGGGAAGTGTAACGAATCGTGCTGGGTCAGCGCGATCTTGACCGAGGCTTGCGCACGGCGGGGCTCCACAGAGGAAGGGGCAGAATGGTCCGAAGCATGCGGCGCGATCGCCTGGGCGAAACGACTCATGAAGTCGAAGTCGCGCTTGATATCGGCCAGATGCGTCTTCTGCGCATCGCGGTAGACATCGGCGTGTGCGTGACTATCAGCACCGATCCGAGCAAAGAAATCGGCCCACATGTTCCCAAGGAGATCCTGGATCTCGTCTGGGCCAGAGCACTCAAAACTCTGGTCCCACTCTCGGGGGGCGCGAACCCAGCGGAAAGACGGGCGCCCAGTCGCGCTCCTTGTGCAACTGGAACGCTTGGCGCCAGACACAGGCGTGAGGATGGGTGCCGTCGGCGAGGGGGGGGCCATGAGCTCCTTTCCTCCGCCGCGCTCAAAGGGTCGGAAACTACCGGGACGTCGGGGGGCCCAGCCTAAGCGCCTCGAGCACAGCGTGCCGCTCAGCACGAGGTACCGAGTGGTGCCAACCACGAAGCCCACCGAAAACCGCTCGCAGCGGAATCCCCGCGGGGCCCATGTCGACCACGCTCCAGACACGCCGACGAAGCTCGGGGCTGTTGTTCGCCAGCCCCGAGCCGTCAGTGTACAGCTTTCGCCCCCGAAACGCTGGGACATCCCCCCAGGAGTGGCGAGGCAGCTGCTGCGGGGCGGGGGCGCCCCGCACTCGCAACTGCGTTCGCCATTCCACGACGTCATCAGGATGCGCTTGGCCTTGGCTCGCCGGGTAGTCTAGCACCCCTTCGCAGTCGTGGAGCTGGTGGCCCATGGTCCCGACAGCTCTTGAGGAGCAAAAAGAGCAAACATCCGAAGCACACAGGCCAGCGGCCTACTTCTTAGCGGGGGGCCACATGCTAGAGCGGATAACGTACCGTGCGACAGCCTGGCGCTTGGGGTCCGAAATCTGCAGGACACCGTGGCGCAAACCCCTCGCCCAGACATGTTCGGACCCCGTAGCCTCGGGCACGTGCTGGGGCATCCGAGCGGCCTGCCACCCACCTATACCTTCGTCAGAACGTAGCAGTCAGGTTGATACGTGGCGTTGAAATCCCGAGAACAATGTTTTGGCATGCCTCAGGGTCTTCAAACGGTTGTCTTCCAACGAGGCAGTTCCCTCAGTAGAAATGAGCCATTGTAGGGGCCTATCGAGAGGGAGCTTGGAGGGAGGGTTGATTCCAGCATCGTTGATGACTCTTGGGTTTACACTGGTCCTCCTCCTCCCCCTCCTTTGATGCTGCTTTGCCCGCAGGCTGCGCCCCGCTATGCTTGGTTTTCGGGCATAGCTCTGACACAGGAGTCGAGGGGGGGGGAACAACAACTAAGGGACATCTTTTCACGTATCACGCGGTCGACACTGGCGTGCAACTGCTAAGACAACGCCGCCTCTGAATGCAACGTCGGTAGGCCCGCGCGGACAGGGTGAAGAGTGGCGATCCTGGGAGAAGTTTGAGTTCACTCGACCGTGCGCGCGGCAGGTGGCGGGCGTCGGCCCCCAGAACAGTTGGGCGCTACCGGAGCAAGCACCTCGGCAGGTCGCAGGGGTTGAACGCAATCGTCGCGCAGGAACTTGAGGACCCTGTCGAAGACCATGATCAAAAAGTGCCTGCTGCTGCGCTGGCGCTTTGGACGCTTCTGTCTGTTTCGGGTCGCACGTCAGCAAGGGCACGGATGTGGCACTCCGCGGGGGCCCTCTCTACGTATCCCTAGGTGCTTGTCCCCGCTACCCTGCTGCAGCGAGCCAAGTGCCGACATGACACCACCTCGGCGGTCCAAGGACTGTTTGGGCCAAACATGCTGCGGAGCGTCGGGGAGTGCTTGGGGGCGCCTGGGGGCGTCGGGGGCGCGGCCCCTTTCTAGCTCTTATTAGGGTAGCAGCCTCCGGGCAGCATTCTTCTTTTGGGGGGCAGCAGCAGCAGCAGCAAAATCGACAACGCAAGGCGACGCCAGAAACACTAACATAAGTGAAACAAAGCGGGACGCAGCCGGCAGGCTCAGCAACGTCAAAGGAAAAGGAGGAGGAGGAGGAGGAGGAGGAGGAGGAGGAGGAGGCCGGTGCTGGCTCATTAGGTGGGGCCGTGGCAAATCACCGTGCAGGTTGAGAGCTGCTCGCGCTGAGCCAGTCCAACTCCAATACTTCCCACCATCGATGTTGATACCTCCAGGGCGTTTCCTTTCCGAATCTTCGGAGCGAGGCCTCGGGTCCGTGCTCTAGCAGATCGGGGTGCAATGTGGATGGCTTGTTGCTTCCCCTCTCCCATGCACCTCTGCTGCGCCGGCGGGCGAGCCCCCGGCCCGTTCCACCCCGTCAGGGGCACGGCGGCGAGCGAGCGGCTACGTGCGGTTCGTCGCCGTCGACGGCCACCGCGGGTGGCGGCAACTCCAGGAGCGTGGCCGCGAAAGCCCTCTGGGCTGCGTCCGCGGCCAGGCCAGTCCAGCAGTGCAGGTGCGGCGCCCGCGAAGACGCTCGGAGGCGCTGCGGCGAGCTGCGGGCCTTGGTCCTGGCATGCAGCTGGGCGAAGGGCCTCGTCCGACCACCAGCCACGGACTTCCAGGCCCAGCACGACCCGCGGGCATCTCCTCGACCCGAGGAGCTCCGGGTGCGTCGCTTCTTTCCGGCCCCGCGCGACCGCCAGCTGGACTCCATCTTCGTCCGCGGCTCTGGGCTGCGCTGTGCCGTCCGCTCGGACGGGCGACGCCAGGGTCGCGTCGATCGCCAGCTGAGCTCCGCCCCGCAGCGGCGTGCCATTTGCGATGACCTCGAGCTGTCGCAGATCGCCGAGGCCGCTGCTGTCCCCGTTCAGATCTCGCAGGAGCTGGTTCTTTGCGACTCTGCCCCCAGCCCCCCGGCAGATGCGCGCGGCTGCCTTCTCCAGATGGGTGGACCTCGTCTTGAAGACCCTGGCCCTTGGGCATGCTGCTCTGTGGTCGGCTCTTGCATCCAGTCTGCCTCTGCGTCTGCGCGCGCTTGCTGCGAAGGGTAAATTAATTCGCCCGCGCGTCAAGAAACTGCGCTCGGGCTGCGTCCTCGAGGGTTCTGGCAGACTAGAACTGCCACCCGTGCGCTCAACCGCGCCCCCGCTCGCGCGTCGGCCGGGGGCCGCGCGCGAGGTCGTGCCAGCCCGGCGCGGCGACGTGCTGCCTCGCCCGGCGGGCTTGCTGGAGGCGCCCGGGAGCGACCGGCCGCGGGGCTCAGTCCAGCTCGCTCAGCGCCCTGCAGATCTGGTCCGTTAGCTGGAGGCAGCGCTCGTGGAGCATCGGTGAGCAGGTTGCCCATGGAGCCCGCCAGGCCGCCGGCGCAGTCCTGGCCGCGCTCCTGTAGCCGAGCCCTCCCATGCGTAGCGGTAGTTGGCAGCGCTGGCGGGGTGGCGCGCCTTCTTCTAAGGCCCCCCGTGGAAGTTCGAACAAATAGGCGCGCGCGTTGGTCGGGTTGTCGTCGCGGGCTGCAGCGAAAGCAACCGTGTCCTCGGGATCCAGCACCTTCAGGAAGAAGTTGGCCCTGGGGTTGGCGCGCAGGCTGAGCTGGAGCCACGAGGATTGCAGATCCCCAAGGTGCGGTAGTCTCTCCAGCAAGCGGCGGTGTTCTGCTAGGATGCCCTCGAAGTGCTGCGCGACGAACGCCCTATGGCCGACGGGGGCTTCAGTGCAACCAGGCCATGGGCTTCTGGCGGGGTGTCTGCTCCTCCGACCCGCGCCCAATCCTCTGCGGTGCCCAGCTCAAGGGGGCGGGTGGTTCCTGCCCTCCCCTGTCCCAGACTCGCGTCTTCCCCGTGTTCGCGCTGCTGTAGCAGTGCCTCTGGAGGGCCTCCCGCGCGGCGTCGAAGAGGAACCTCGCCGTCTGGGGTGGTGGCCACGATCGCGCCGTCGAGAGAGGCGACGGTGCGATTCTCGAGCCTGGGCATTCCGCGGACCTGCTGCAGGGCTGGGTGTAGTCCCAAGGCGAACAAGGCTGGCATGAGCGGGTCTCCTTGTTCTCTTCCTCCCTCCGCCTGGTCGATCGCGCGCCCTTGCCCCGCGTCGTCGTGCCATCGGTGCTGCGACCGTTCTCCTGTGAAGAGGCGGCACACTGGGGGCAACGCGCTTCCCCTGTCCAGGTTTGCCAAGCCTTCAAGCATCTCGTGTCGACGCAGGAGGCCGAACGCCCCGATCCCCTCCATGGGAACCACCGTAGCTGCAGGATCGTCCTGGGTGAGGGTGTGCACCAAGTGCGCCGCGCATTCCGTGCCAGTCTGGGCCCCTGGGGCAAGCGTGCCCTGATGTCGCCCAGCGCGCCGTGGAGGGCGAGGCGGAATAATCCGGGCATCAAGGCGTTTCCTGATTCGCCCCAATCTTTTGTTTCCTTCATTCGAATAAAACGAAAAGTCAGTCGGTGAGTCAGTCAGACAGTCAGTTAGCATCAGTTCCCCTCGCGCCCGGACCTACCTTCAGCCCCCCGCCGCCGCCGCCGACCGCCTGCTCAGCTGCCGCGCCCAGCCGGCGGCGGTGAAGGCCTCCCAGCGCCTGCGTCGCTGCCGCCCCTTCCGCCGCGTCGGCCACCCGCCTCCGCTGCGCCGTCCTCCTCCGCCGCGTCGTTCTCCTCCGCCACCTCCTCCTCTTTGGTCACCTCCTGCGTCTCCTCTGCCTCGTCAGCTTCCTCTCCTCCTCCTCCTCCGCCTCGTCTTCCTCCTCGGTTCGCTGCCGCTGCCCTTTCATCGCGCGGGCGCTGATTCCAGCGTTGTGGCTGACGACGTTGGGTTCCAGTCAGTGCGGCCTGCTGCCGCTGACTGCTTTCCTCGCGCCCGGCGCTGATCCCAGCGGTGTAAATAGCTGGTGGCGTCTGCTTTTGGTCCCGGCTCCTGCATCTCGCTGGGTAGCGCCTCGGCTCGCTGCCGCTGTCCGCCTTGCTCGCGCGCGCTGATCCCAGCGTTGTAGCTGATGACATTTGGCTCCAACCTCGCTTCCCACGTCTCGCTGAGCAGTGAGAGAGCCCGCTGCCACTGCTCGCCGTTCGCGCACGCGTTGATCCCAGAGTTGTAGCGGATGTCGTTCGTCTCCAACCTCTCTTCCCACATCCCGCAGAGCAGCGATAGAGCCCGCTGTCCCTGCTCGTCCTTCGCGCACGCGCTGATCCCAGGGCTGTAGTTGATGACGCTTGGCTCCACCTTCGCCTCCCGCGTCTCGCTGAGCAGCGAGAGAGCCTGCTGCCGCTGCTCGCCGTTCGCGCGCGCGCGCTGATCCCAGAGCTGTAGCTGATGCCGTTCGGCTCCAACCTCGCTCCCCGCACCCCGCCGAACAGTGAGAGAGCCCGCTGCCACTGCTCGCCTTCTGCGCACGCGCTGATCCCGGAGCTGTAGCTGAGGATGCTTGGCTCAACCTTCGCCTCCCAGATATCGCTGAGCAGTGACAGAGCACGCTGCTAATGCTCGCCCTTCTCGCACGCGCTGAACCCAACGCTTGGCTCCAGCCTCACTTCCCGCATCCCGTTGAGCAGCGAGACAGCCCGCTGCCACTGCCCGCCTTTTGCACGCGCGCTGATCCCAGAGTTGTAGCTGAGGACACATGGCTCCAATCTCACTTCCCACATCTTGCTGAGCAGCGATAGAGCCCGCTGCCACTGCTCGCCTCTCGTGCGCGCGCTGGCCCCGGAGCTGTAGCTGATGACGCTGGGCTCCAGCCTCACTTCCAACATCTCGCAGAGCAGCGATAGAGCCCGCTGCCACTGCTCGCCCTTCTCGCGCGCGCTGATCCCCGAGCTGTCGCTGATGGCGTCGGGCTCCGGCTTCGCCTCCTGCGTCGCGCTGAGCAGCGACAGGGCCCGCTGCCACTGCTCGCCCTGTATGCGTGAGTGGATCCCAGCGTTGTAGCCCACATATCGCTGAGCAGCGCCAGAGCCCACTGCCACTGCTCGCTCTTCTCGAACGCGCAAATCCCAGCGTTATAGCTGATCTCGTCGGGGTGCAGCCTCGCCTCTCGCATCTCACTCAGCAGTGCCAGAGCCCACTGCCGCTGCTCACATCTCTCGCGCGCGCTGGTCCCGGCGCTGTAGCTGATGACGTTGGGCCCCCACCTCAAGACGGATTCCATTATCGTTTCTTGTATCTCGCTGAGCAGCCCTAGAGCCAGCTGCCATTGCCCGCGCTTCTCGCCAGCACTGGCAGGTCGGGGCTTCGGGCGGGGGCGGGGCGGACAGGGGATGGGGGGCGAGGGGGCAGGAGGGCCGACAGGGCCGAAGGGGAAGGGCCGGGGCCAAGCGAGACGGGACCGACACGAGGGGACGAAGGGCGAGGGAAAGGCGAGGGGAAGGGCAGGTGGGCGTCGTCGTGCAGATGTGCGTCGCTGCTGCTGGTCGTTGCAGGTGGTGCCCGCCGTTGCTGGGGGTCGTGGAGCTGGTCGAATTAGTGCTGGTCGCAGTCGTGGTGGTGCTGCTGGTCGCGGTCGTGGTGGTGGTGCTGGTCGCAGTCGTGCTGGTGGTGCTAATGGTCGTGGTGGTGTTGCTGCTGGTCGCGGTCGTGGTGCTGCTGCTGCTGGTCGCAGTCGTGTTGCTGCTGGTCGTCGTGGTGGTGCTGCTGGTTGCGGTCGTGGTGGTGCTGCTGGTCGTGGTCGTGGTGGCGGTGCTGCTGCTGGTCGTAGTCGTGGCGCTGCTGGTCGCAGTCTTGGTTGTGCAGTTGGTCGCGGTCGTGGTGGTGCTGCTGGTCGCTGTCGTGGTGGTGGTGCTGCTGGTCACAGTCGTGGCGTTGCTGGTCGCAGTCGTGGTGCTGCTGGTCGTGGTCGTGGTGGCGCTGCGGGTCGTAGTCGTGGTGCTGCTGGTTGCTGTCGTGGTGCAGCTTCTGGTCGTAGTCGTGGTGCTGCTGCTGGTCGCAGTCGTGGCGCTGCTGGTCGTAGTCGTGGCGCTGCTGGTCGCAGTCTTGGTTGTGCAGTTGGTCGCGGTCGTGGTGGTGGCGCTGCTGGTCGTGGTGGTGCTGTTGCTGGTCGTACTCGTGGTGGTGCTGGTGGTCGTAGTTGTGGTTGCGCTGGTGGTGCTGCTGCTAGTCGCAGCCGCGGTGGTGTTGCTCCCGGTTGCGGTCGTGGTGCTGCTGGTCGTGGTCGTGGTGTTGCTGCGGGTCGCAGTCGTGGTGGTGGTGCTGGTCGCAGTCGTGGTAGTGCTGCTGCTGGTCGCCGTCGTGGCGTTGCTGGTCGCAGTCGTGGTGCTGCTGGTCGTGATCATGGTGGCGCTGCGGGTCGCAGTCCTGGTGCTGCTGGTCGCAGTCGTGGTGCTGCTGCTGGCGGCGGTCGTGGTGGTGGTGCTGCTGGTCGTGGTGGTGGCGCTGCTGGTCGCAGTTGTGGTGGTGCTGCTGGTCGCAGTCGTTGTGGTGCCAGTTGTGCTGGTGGTGCTGCTGGTCGTGGTGGTGTTACTGGTCGTGGTCGTGGTGCTGCTGCGGGTCCCAGTCGTGGTGGTGGTGCCAGTGGCGGTTCTGCTGCTGGTCGCAGTCGTGTTGGTGCTGCTGGTCGCGGTCGCGGTGGTGTTGGTTGTGCTGGTGGTGGTGCTGCCGGTCGCAGTCGTGGCGGTGCTACTGCTGGTCGTCGTCGTGGTCCTGCTGGTCGTAATCGTGGTGGTGGTACTGCTGGTCGCAGTCGTTGTGGTGCTGGTCGCAGTCTCGGTGCTGCTGCTCCCGTTTGCGGTCGTGGTGCTGCTGGTCGCAGTCGCGGTGGTGCTGCTGGTCGCGGTCATAGTGGTGGTGCTGCTGCTGATCGCAAACGTGGTGGTGCTGCTGGTCGTGGTCGTGGTAGTGCTGGTTGTACTGGTGGTGCTGCTGCTGGTCGTGGTCGTGGTCGTGGTGGCGTTGCGGGTCGCAGCCGTGGTGGTGGTGCTGCTGCTGGTCGCGGTCGTGGTGGTGCTGGTCGCAGTCGTGGCGCTGCTGGTCGCCGTCGTGATGGGTCGCAGTCGTGGTGCTGCTTGTCGTCGTCGTGGTGGTGGTGCTGGTGGTGGTGCTGCTGCTGGTCGCAGTCGTGGCGATGGTGCTGCTGGTCGCCTCCTAGGAGCTCTCTGAAGTCGCCCGCCAGCACCACAAGATTGAACTCAATGTCGGAGAGCTCATGAAGGCGGGCAGTGCCCGACCAGTTTTTTAAAGGTCAGCCGAGCGGTGTAACCACACAGCCTTGGCATGGCGAAACGCAGTGGGACAAACGATGCTAGACATTTGCTTAGATATTCTGTAGAAGAAACACCCGCGCAAAAATCGTTCTCAGCGTCGCGGCCCAGGACGCGCTGATGGCCACCCTGACGGGCGACGGCTACCTCGCCTTGGGGGGAGCCGCCGGGGAGGACGACCCAGACCTGGCCGAAGTGCTGCTCGCAGACTCCGCCGGCCCACCCGCTAGCCGCCTGCCAGCACGCCCCTGATGCTTGGCACCGCGGCCAGCACGGCCGCCCCGGGGGGCTCCGACGAGCGCCGGGAGCACCCCCGACACGGCAGCGGGCACCACGAGGAGACCAGCAGTACCACCACCACCACAACGGCGACCATCGCTTCGACTGCGACCCGCAGCAGAACCACCACCAACACCACCACCACGAGAGCGACCCGCAGCACCACCACGACCACGACCAGGAGCACCACGACTGCGACCAGCAGCACCACGACTGCGACCAGCAGCAGCACCACCACGACTACGACCAGCAGCACCACCACCACCACGACCAGCAGCACCACCAGCACCACCAGCACAAGCAGCACCACCACGACTGCGACCAGCAGCACCACCACGACTACGACCAGCACCACCACGACTGCAACCAGCAGCAGCACCACAACGACCAGCAGCACCACCACCACGACCAGTAGCACCACCAGCACCACCACGACGGCGACCAGCAGCCCCACGACTGCGACCAGCAGCGCCACGACTGCGACCAGCAGCACCACGACTGCGACCAGCAGCAGCACCACCACGACTGCGACCAGCAGCACCACCACCACGACAGCGACCCGCAGCACCACCACGACCACGACCACGACCAGCAGCACCACGACAACGACCAGCAACACCACGACTGCAACCGGGAGCAGCAGCACCGAGACAGCGACCAGCAGCACCACCAAGACCAGCACCACCAGCACAACCAGCACTATCACGACTGCGACCAGCAGCACCACCACCACTACGACCAGCACCACCACGACAACGACCAGCACCACGA